TCTCTTTTAAGAACATATCTATTTACCTTTGTTACATGGCAATGAGAATAAGTAGCTACAACTACACACAACAGCATGGATGAATAACATGGACACAACGTTAAGAGAAAAGTGCCAGACATAAAAGGGAATATGAAGTATGACTCCTTTTAAAAAGTTAAAAAGCGAGTAAAACTTACGTATGATGTCTGAAGTCAGGACAGCAGTTCCTTTAGAGGGTAGGTAGTCACTGGAAAAGGGTACGAGAGGGCTCCTGGGATTGGGATAGTGCCTTTTTTAATTTATGTACTAGTTATACAATTGTGCTCACTCAGTAGAAATCCCTTGAGCTGCATACTTACAATAATGTGCATTTTTATATTTATAAAATATACTTTATAAAATTATACTTGATAAACTTTTATACTCTAATAAAATTTAGAAAAAAAAAACACAACAAATCCTCACAGTAATGAACAAAGATACATGTCAAAGCATCATTTGAAATAGAAAAAACTAGAATAAATCTAATTGCCCAACAACAGATCTGTTTAAATGAATTATAATTTACGCATATAATGCAATCCTATACAAACACAAAACAATGAATTCGTAAAAGAAAATTTACTTATACAGAAAGATGCCAACAATAAAGGAGATTTTTAAGCGTATATGTGGAGTGAGCATTTTGTAAAGACATACACACACATTAAGATCTCAGCCCATAAGAGCATGCACTAAGAATGGTTGGTAGTTTCCTCTGGGTGTGAGATTTAAGGTGCTTTCATTTTATTTCGTTTGTTGTTTGCTTATTGATTTGTACTTCCTGTTAAGTTTTAAATAAAATGTTATTGCCAAAAAATCAACTTTAAAATTTGTACCATGTTAATTACTTTTGGGAAAGTTTGCAGTGGGCACTATAATTTGAAAGCTAGAGGCGTTGCTCTGGCCAAAGTCAGTCTGATAGGATTTGAAGATAGATAGAAAATCTGTTAGTATCCGCAGCTGTAGGAGAGTTCTATAAATACACTGCTTCTAGTTAGGTCTCTCGGTGTAAGATCCCGACCTCAAAGGGATCTAAGGGTTTACAGAATCAAAGGTGTCATGCTGAC